AGGGAGGGAGGGAGGGAGGGAGGGAGGAAGGAAGGAAGGAAGGAAGGTAAGAAAGCCTGTATCCCAAGCTACTTGGAAGGCATGAGTTCAAGGCTTACTTAGGCTACAGAGTAAGTCAATGCCAGTGTGAGAAACTTAGCAAGATCCTGTTTCAAATATGTGAGACCTTGGGTTTAATCCCCAACCTTGCAAAAAAAAAAAAGAACAATAACAATAATAATAATAAATATTAAAAGTAGAAAATGTTTTATTAGTAATAAAGCAAGACCAAAGCAATAACTGGGCACATTGGGGTGGGTCTTGGGTACCCCCACAAGGTGGCATATATAGGCAATCTAGAGCATTCTTTGATCATGGTGGCTAAGCTTTCAGGCTTTAAAATAACAGTTCCTGAATTCAAGAACTTACAGAGGGAGCCACATGCCATATGCACAGTTAATGACATATGAACTAGCAATAAAAAATTCTCTCTCACTGACCCCTAAAACCAAACGGGTTCCAGGTTTTAATATTGGGGTTTGGTTTTGGCACGCGTGTGTTTTATAAGACGGGGTCTCAGGTTTGGTTTGGGGGGTGTATGTGTGTGTGTTTTGTAAGACAGGGTCTCATGTAACCCTGGCTGTCCTGGAACTCCATTTGTAGACCAGGCTGGTCTCAAACTTACAAAAGTCCACCTGCCTCTGCCTCCCAAGTGCTGGGATTAAAGGTGTGTGTCACCACTACCTCGCTTATAACTTTTTTTTTTTTAAATCACTACAGAAAAGTCATGGGCTGGAGAAATGGCTCAGTGGATAAAAGCATTGGCTGCTCCTTCCCACCTACCTTTCAAGCTAAACAGCCATGAAGCCCTTTACTACCCCATCACAAACTATTCTCTGTCCTCTTCCCTCTGGGAAGAGAGGGAAGCCCCATCTCCACACTTATACCTGTTGTAAACATCCTTGCTGAGGCCCAGGGATGACACCTTCACCTGCCTCTGGGCACTGACCAGGCAGTTGCGAGCAGCTAAGTCCTTGTGCACAAAACGGTTGTTGGACAAATGCTCCATGCCCAGGGCCACCTGGGTACACAGGGCCACCTGGTAAGAAAGAGCAGCCTGTCAGAACAGCTCAGGACTGGGAATTAAGGGAACCACCATGACATAACCCTTGTCTGTTACTCCAGGTACCCCTGGAGTGCTACTTAGGAAACCCCAAATGCAACAGCCTCAGCTGCCTTCTCCAGAAAATGGGATATATTATCTGCTTCACTGGGTTGTTCAAAGATTTAATTAAGTGAAATTAAGGAGTTGAGAAGATGGCTTGGTGGGTAAAGTGTTTGCTGGGCAAGTGTGAGGGCCTGAGAGTGGATCTCCAGAACCCACATAAAGGGCCACGCCAGCTGGGCTAGCCAATCAGTGAGTTCCAGGTTCATCGAGAGATCCTGTCTCAAAAGTAAGGCTTGATGGACCAGGCCTTTGCCTAACTCTATAGTACAGACAAGCCTCAAAATCACCATGTACCCCAGACTAAATTTGACTTCAATGTGTTCCTTTGCCTCAACTTCCCAAGTACTGGATTACAGAAGTGAAACATCACACTCAGCTGTCAGCCTGTCTCCATCCCTGTCCCAGCCACTTACCTTAACCCCTCTCCTGAAGCCATCCCCTTCCTGTCATTCAGTTACTTCCTGTCTATGAGGACTGAACTCACATGGCTCTCTCCACCAGGAAAACTTCTTTGTTAACCACAGCTGCCTGTCTACCCAAGGTCCTGGATGTCTTCCACATCTCAGAGGCCTCCCACTAGCTTCCCGTGTGTGTCAGCCTGTAATGTCACAGTCTCCACACAAGTTAAAGAAACTGGCTCCAGGCCACGCCCAAACCAACAGCCCCTGGGCTTCGGGTGCTTGCTGCTTCTTTCACTCAGAGCCACAGGCATGTGGGGGTTTGCTCTAATAGAAGCTCCCACAGGAAAAGCAAGGGCTGGACCCTCTGTGAGGCCAACAAGATGACCCAAGCCACCTGCAGGGCTGGAACCAGTCACTGATATCTCTAAGCCTCTATCTTTTGGCTCACGAAATGGGGACATAGGGACACATTTCAGGGGACTGCTATGCTAATAAACATGGTGACATACTTGTATAAGGCCTGGTTCTAAAGGAGTGTTGAGCATGGAAGCCAAGTGTGCCCTTGCTGCAGCCTATCCTGGGGGATAGCCCACTTTGCTCTTACCTTCTGTTTGGTGCTGAGGGGCTGTGACTTCAATTTTTCATCCTTACTCTTGGAAATCCTTAGGAACTGTTTGAGATCTCCCTGGGGGAAGGGCCGAACACCTCTGTTAGGCATAGCCCAGCTGTGGGCTCTAAGCATCAGACCAAGCCAGTGCTTGCAGAGTCAATGCTGGAAGACAGGGCTGACCTGAATGCAAACCCAGACCTCACCCTGGTGGGCACAGTTCACTGGTATATGAGATTTTAGACCATATGGAGGACGCCCTCTCAGTTGTCCCTCCTACTCTGACGATAAGAGGCTTCTGCCTTCAGGAGCCAGGAAGAAAACACAAGCTCTTACCCTGCTCTCATGGACTACAGAAAGGGGTTACAGTGTAACACAGACACAGGGACAAGCACACAGCTTACAAAAAGGCTGAGAGCCTGGCATTGGTTGCGCACACCTTTAATCCCAGCACTCGGGAGGCAGAGGCAGGCGGATCTCTGTGAGTTCGAGACCAGCCAGATTTACAAGTGCTAGTTCCAGGACAGGCTCCAAAGCCACAGAGAAACTGTCTCGAAAAACCAAAAAAAAAAAAAAAAAAAAAAAAAAA